GTTGGCTGTAGTCGTTCCTCACAAGACGAATCCCCCCCCCTACTGGTCAGCAAACTTGAGGACTTGTAACTCAATCTGCTTATCCTCGAAGAAGATGACCATGGATTACGAACTCTTACCAATATAACGTTGGCTTTAGTCGTTCCTCAACGAAGCAGTCTACGCCACATGACGAACCTCCCCTCTTCACTGGTCAGCAGTAAGATTGAGGACTTATAGCTATAAAATTCTAAGTTTGATTCCTGTGGTGAGCCCATGCCACGGATTTATTTCTGACAGCAAATTACTAAACGAATATCGGTTCAGTTTGCGTAAAGCTACCTGAGTTAGAGATTGTTTACATATTGCAGGAAAATATGCTTCTTATTTTTGGACTGTCATATACCTTATTGGTTAGGCCGCTCGACTCACGATGTGCGGGTTCGAATCCCGTCACCGAAATACTCGTCCTTTCCACCTTGGGGGCATTATAAGGTAATGGTCAATCCCACTTTTCGTTAGTAAAAGAATATCCCAAGTGTTGACTGTGGGTGGTGCCTTTGCACTGGTCTATCACTTTTAAATTAGATTCGGCTAGCGCAGAAAGCCCTCGAGTAGCTTTACGTGAGATTCAACAAAACAAACAAACAAAATATGCTTTTGTTAAGTTAGAAAATCGCCAATTAATATAAAAAGATAACTGATTATGTGACGTGCATGGCAGTTTTATTGTGGATATTTGACGTCATCTTCAAATTACCGATTTGTTTTTATACCGTTCACTACTGATGGGGGGTAATCTATTGTATCGTATTGAATAATTCGACATTCTTTCTCAAGAAGAAAAAAAAATCTAGCGGGATTGCAATATTGATATTATTTGTGTCTTACGTTACAAGAGACACTGTATTGACAAAGTCACGGATCCACAAGCAACCGATTGGGGGGGGGGTCCCCTCCAGTCACTAAGTCTAAGGTTCACGTAATCGACCTCTCCACTTGTAATCGCCAAGAAAATAATGTTAAATGGATATCTTTTTTCATGTTTTACTCCAAAATCACAATTTTCTCTTTTTGTTCGCAAAATGTAGGACTAGCTCGTTCTTTCAAAAAAAAAATCACGAATTATTTTTAAAGTCGGGAATTGAACCTCGTATTTTAGCATTGCAAGTCCGAAACTTTACCGTTGACCCTTCGGGAAAAGAAAATTTTATAGGTTACCCTACCGGAGAACAAAGAAACTTCTTTCGCGTATGGATTTCCTGTATTCATAAGACAAACTAGTTTTTAAATCTAATTTAATAGTTTATTCCTTTCTAAACAAACAGCAAAGTCTTTTTGATGGTTTTTTTTCTTAATGACATTGCGTAACAAACATTAGAACATTCAAAAGTTGATGATCTTTAGAATTTTCCAAACTTTTGACCAGTGTATAAAATTTACCCAACATACAAAAAAGGACAACTTTATAAATATTTCTTAATTTTTAAAAATCACTTATCATATTCCATTTTTTCCCTTCTACGAATATAGATATTTCTTGTAAACAACACAGACAGTTACTTTTTCTGTCTCATCCTACCTGCCAGTTTTTGTTACAACCATCTCGGTTCCAAATGTATGAAACCTTTCCCATAATTCTTTGGACTCCAAAGTAACTTTTGGATCGTCTTGAACGCCGTCGTCGTCAGGTTCCAAATGTCGTGGCGATGGCCGCAAGTGAGGAGGACACAGTGGAAACTTTGGCAAGGGAGTTGGGGAATGCAAGGAGAGGTAATGCTGCGGAGCCAGAAAAGGATTCGCGCCGAACCCGAGCGGGCCACGAGCCTCGGCGGCTGCAGAGAAGGAAGGTAACAAGAACGGGTGGTAGGCTATTCCGTGTGGTAACATTGTAGACTCCAATGTCATGGACAGCGTCAGCGGGATGCCTCAAGTTCGGAGAGTTACAAAGAATGAAAAGTAAGTGAAATACTGTGCACTCGGATGACATGAGCTACGAAACTCGGATCCCCTGCCGATACAGTAAACTTAGCGTTCACAATACACATGTATGCACCCGCACCATTGATTCGCTCTCGGTTGTATAAGTACGGAAGCCCTAACCAATCACTGGATCCAAAACAGACATCCCAGGCGTTCCCAGAAGACTTGTATAAACACTCGATTTGAAACAGTAGTCGTTACGGAATGGCGTCTGTTGCGCCATCTGTTGAAAACATTCGAAATAAACAATTTACATACTTTTTCAAGTGTGTTTATGACAATCTTTGCCTTTAGTTTTGTATTGTTTACTGCGATAACTTATTAACAGATAAATTAAAATATTCATCTTTCTTTACTTGTTAGACTTGACGGTTATGATTATATTAGCAGTAGGTAAACTTTTCAACTAAATATTGTTATACTGACTGATCATTCCTCAGTTTAATCTATAATATTTATTTGTTTATTAAACGCCATTTTGACGTTTCTATTTTTATATTATATTGATTTTTAATCTTAGGCTTCATGCAAATTATACTCTAACAAACTGTTGAACGACAGGTTAATATTTTTGAACTGAATTTTGTTTTTCTTAGCATGATAAATATCGCTTTACAATTTCAGAAATACAAATTAAGTTTCGATCGATACCACAAAATATTCCCACACTTTCAGCTGTGGGTGTATTATGAGAGTAATAGTCATTTCCTCAGCGTGGATGGTGGTTTATACGGTGAATATGGGTGGTTACCTTCCCTGTGGTCAGTAGTTCAAAATTACGAACGGTGACAAATAGGCTTAGTAGCTTTTCCATAAATACAAAATACAAATACAGATAGGCTTAGTAGCTTTGATACAAAATACAAATACAGATAGGCTTAGTAGCTTTGATACAAAATACAAATACAGATAGGCTTAATAGCTTTGCCATAAATACAAATACAGGTAGGCTTAATAGCTTTGCCATAAATACAAAAAGCAAATACATATAAGTTTAGTAGCTTTGCCGTAAATACAGATAAGCTAGATTGGCAGAAGGTGCCATTTCCATAACTTAACCAACCAGAACATTTATATAGGCTGGACGCGGCCCGATAAGTAATGTGCTGACTATAAATGAAAATATTTATGTTCGCAATCCGTTGTCGCAAAAATGCGCTCTGCAGTGTAGAACCATGGGTGCTTCGTAAGAGTGACATTCAAATCCCACTATTTAATCGTACAACAGTAGCTCAGTAGTTGTTGTGGGTGTTGTTGACTGGTGCCCTCATTCTATTCTACCAGTTCAAAATTAAGCATAGCTTTTTGTGTAGCCTTACGCGTAAATCCTGAAGCAAACTCAACAGTTTTGATTTCAACAAGGCTTAAAAAGGTCAGTGTACTGTACAAAATAACAATACGAGTACGTATTAACGTCAGAACAAAACAAAAAAAATTTTTTTATAACAATAGGAATAATGCGAGTCAAAATATGAAACAGACACAATAGAAAAACAAAACTAACCAAACAACAATAACACAAAAAAAAAGAAAATAATAATAACATTTACTAATAAGCACATAATACAAAATGTGATAAGCGAAGGGTGCTTAAAATGAACAAAACAACAGAAATAAACTTTGACAACACCAAATATAATACTAACGTTCCAGGAAGTTGGGGCCCAGTGGAAGGAAAACAAGTGAATATTCACATAGGGAAATGTTACACTGTTTGTTTGTTGTTAAGCGCAAAACTAAAGAATGAGCTAAGAATTTAACGAATATTCTAATATCAAACAATTGTATATATATTAACCCTGATAAAGACGAAACGTTGGTTGAAATATTTTGTAGTTATCAGAATTTTAAAGGTCGTTTTTTTCTAAACTTTTATCAAAATCGACTGTTTGTTTGTTTGTTGTTAAGCGCAAAACTAAAGAATGAGCTAAGAATTTAACGAATATTCTAATATCAAACAATTGTATATATATTAACCCTGATAAAGACGAAACGTTGGTTGAAATATTTTGT